AGTACTTGCAGAAAAGGGGTCTATCCCCCAAGGACATTCATGCTAAAATGTTTACTACATTAGAGGATGATGTTCCAGTTTTATCAACAATGCAAAAGTGAGCAGTTGAATTTAGGATGGGAAGTGAGAGTCTTAAAGATGGTGCAAGGTATGGATTTCCTGCAACATTGATTGTGATGGATGACAGGCAATTGACTATAAATCAAATAACCAATGCTTTTAGCAGCTGGCCATTCATATTTGAGGATACCTATCTACTAGGGTGGCTAGCCAATCCCTATTGCAGACGCATGCTCCCGCACATTTATGTTTATTTAACACCCACAGAGCCCACCTGTGGTTTATACTGTAACTCTGCTGAGCAGACCTTAGTTACAGTTTCTGAGAAAGAGCATGTTTTCTTGTGTGATCAACAATTTGAACAAGGCCAACATGCTCAAGCCCTCGGCCACAATGACTTGTGACTTTGTGCTAGCACAGCTATTGATGACACCCAAGGGTTCTGTCTACCCAATTTCTCTCAAAAGGCTTGGGTCAACCCATGGTATGGTTTTCAGGCAATTTCCAAAGGTACTCCATGCTGTGATTAACCGCTCCAGTTCGATAACATCAGGAATTCTTCTTTCTGACAAATCGACCATGGAGAGATTCAAACCCGCGTCTCATGGTCAGAATGCAAACATTCTAACCACTCGGCCATGTGCCCAATAGCATATTCTGTGAGAGAGTTGAGAATATTTCAAACAATGAACTTGGCATGACAAAGGTTTTGGTTTGGTGGATGCCGTATCTTTTGACACCTGATGCAAGTCACACCAGGCTGATCACATTGCAGGAAAATTTACATTGTTTGAAGCAGATCTAGCTGTTTTTTTTTTTTAATGTTTCTTGACCAAGGATCAGTGCTGGGTTCATTATTTTGAGTCAGAGACCAAAAGATAATCCATACTGTGGAAAAAACCTTATCACCTACTCCAAAGAAAGCCAAGATTGTTTCATCTGCACTGAGGGTGATGGCCTCAGTTTTTTGGATGTAAAAGGTAAGGTGTTTATTGACTAACTTTAAAAGGGCCACACCATCAATGGAGAGTACCATGGCAACTTGCTGAGACAGTTATGAAAGACTATCAAAACTAAACGTCTAGGAAAACTGATGAAAGGGGTCTTGCTTTTCCAGGACAATGCTCCAGCACATAAGTCCTTGGTTTCAATGGCTGCTGTGCATGATTGTGGCTTTGAACTGATGGATACCCCTGCCATTCTCCCAATTTGACACAATCTGACTATCATCTGATCCCCAACATGAAAAAAGCACTTGGTTGGGAACCAGTATTATATTGATGATGATGATGTCATATCTGCTGTTGATAACTTTTTTGATGAACAGGTTGGAAGTTTCTTCATCAAGGGGATCCAAGCAATGCAACACCGATGGAAAAAGTGTGTTGAGAAATAAACTTCATTTGGTCACATTCCCTGAGAGCATCTTGATCAGCCTATGAACTTTCAGCCAACCCTTGTATATACGAGGTGGTATCAAAAAATTTTCAGACTAGCTCTGTAGTGTACCAACAGATGACAATGCAGTGACCTTCATGCGCCAGTGTGCCATCGCTCTGTTCACTTTGCAAGTTATGAAATTTGTGTTTTTGTGATCATGTATATGCTGTAACCTGTGATTTTGTCATGTAAGAGCATGGTCATCGGTTTTTTTTTTTTGATATCCCCAGTATTGTGCATCAAGAATTCATCTCCCAGGTGCAGACTGTCAATCAAGAGTTCTACTGCAAGATTTTGAGGTGTTTGAGGGAGGATGTTTGGTAAAAGCGACCTGATCTGTGGAGCACAAGGAATTGGATTCTTCATGACGACAATGTCTCCCTGTCACAGAGCTTTCCTGACTCGTGTGTTTCTAGCCAAAAACAACAGTGTATCATTTCCACATCTCATTTGCCAGATTTAGCACTTGCAGACTTACATTTCTTCTCCAAGCTGAAAAGGCAGATCAAAGATTACCATTTTAGCACCATTGCCGAGATCCAGAGTGAATCGCAAAAGGTCCTTGACTTGCTTAATTCTAAAAATGGTAGGAATGCTGGGATTGGTGTATTGCTGAGCAAGGTGACTATTTTCAAGATGATGTTAAAACTTAGATGGCTATATTAGTTTTTTTTTTTTTTTAAACATAACTAACCTAGTAAATTTTTTGATACCACCCTGTATGTTTCCACTATTCTTATCAAATAGACTTTTGGTTACAAATAAAGTTGTCTTTTCAGGTTTATTAAATAAAGTCAAACTATTAAGAAAGGTGTGACTATTATCAGTATTTTACCTTTGATTAGTTTATCTTTTTGTAGGGTTTTTTTTTTATCTTGGTATATTAAACCAGTTTCATGGTTTTCCTGTTTTGAATTATCTGAGGAGTCATAATTCTTAATGATTGAAGCGTAAGCAATGTCAAGCCTGGTTAGTACTTAAATGCATGACTGTTTGGGAATACCAGGTGTTGCAAGTATGGATGTGCGGTTTGTGTAATTGATAATGGTACAGAATTGTTACTTGCATTATTTACATTATTCAGACTGTTATCCTTGTCGTCATATTTACAATGCTCCGGCCTTCTTCAGAAGAAGGCTGGAGTATACAACAGCCGAAATGTTGTGAATATGGTGATGAGGATAACAGTCTGAATAATGTAAATAATGCAAGTAATCATAATATCTCATCTCAGAGATATACACAGATACGGAATTGTTAATTGGAGAGCTGAGTTCCAATTCCAGTTGGGTTCATTATATTCGCCTATGTGCAAATAGCCTTGGGAAAGGTATGAATCCACCACTTCTCCCCTCAGCTATGGGTCAATTAGCAAGACTTGTATCACTAAGCCATTATTAGCTAAAAAAAAAAAAAATATATATATATTCTTCTGGGTTTAAATAACAAAGAGTTGATAAGACATAAAAAAGGAATCAGTTAATGAAAGCACTTTTTATCCTAACAACCACCTCAAGCATATTTCATTAATGAAGGATAATTATCAACATAACTTGAATAATATTGAAGATACATAGTAATTAGAATTATAAAACATGAAAGAAATAAGGGTCAATTTTACCATTGCATGACCAGTGTTTGCCTGCAGGCTTGGTCGCAGACACGGCCAGTGTTTGCCTGCAGGCTCAAGTATAATTAAAATCAGATTTCAAAATTAAATGACTGATATCCATTGAATCAACTCAACAACTTTCTTTTTAGACAAGACATATCTAAATTTGCAAATTTTATTAGTTTACCTTTGTAAAATATTGGTGCAGTTATGATATGAATTATGTTTCTTGCATTCCTTTCAATTGCAAACTGTGTCTTTTGTTAAAAGTTCTGTTATGTGCTTCCCCCCCCCCTTTGAAGCTCTATTAACTCAGACCACGTCTCCTTTCTATAAGGCACTGTGATTATTATACATTCTTTTGATTCATTTTTACTGTTTTCTTTAGGATTTTTCTAACGTAATAACCCTGCCTGTTGCAGTTCTGTCCTGTCTCCCCGGTGGTTCTGGCCAAAAAAGAAATCCACCCGATCTTCCTCTGTTGAACTGAAGGAACCACCACTATTTGCCACATTGTGAATTCTTGATCCGAACAGCAGTGTATCGATCTCCCCAGAACGATCTGGTGGGAAGGGGAGGAAATGGCTGGGTATTTCGCTGAAAGGAAATCACTATTCATGCAGCAAAAGTTTCTTGTTGTAGCCGCAAATACATGAAAAAGAAAAAAAAATAAGCAACTCCTGTTCCTGTATAAAGAGCCCTATTTAGGCCACTGTTTTTTTTTATGTCTCTACCGAAGGCTTTACATGAGTACAAAATATCGTAATGAGATTCACTTGTTTGGGTCGGAAAATTTTTGCCTAAACAATTTCGGCTGATCTAAGGGATATAATTCGTGGATCTTCGTCTGCACCCTACGATACAGCAGTCTGCTTTCTTGCAGCCTTGTTGACGAAGTTATCTGGGTTCGTACGGGTTCTATTTTGATCTCTTGGTTCGGATCGGTCTTCTTGACACAGGGCAACCAACAGACCAGACCAGCAAATTCCAAGAAGCCGCCTCTTCCACGTTCTGATCTCCAAACTAATCTGACTAACTCAAGCGTGCGGGCAGCTTATATAGAGAGAGGCGGAGCTAAACCATCTTTAGGCACCGCCCCCGAATTTTAATATGCAAATTGCCTGGACCACCATGTGTTTCTGCCTAATCTCCGGATCTCCGCGGGCAACCAGTTTTCAAGAGGTGCTAAAATCGGATTCGGACTTCCTGCTGGATCTTCCGCAGATAACGTATACTTAAATTTTGCCAAAACCACTTATCCCGTCTGGTTGAATTCCGCTATTCAGACCACCCAAAAATCCAATTTGCCATTTATCACAAACTTTACTTTAACAAATCCGTCTCTTAATCACTTTGGAATTATTACATGTAATTAACTAATAACTCAACCCCAGAAACAATTATTAAGAGAAAAAAAAAAACAAGAGAAAAAAAAATAAACTTATTTCTGGAATTACTCCGGAATCCCTTCTACCCAAGTAATTAGCACCTTCATCCTAATTCTTTAGCACTGTTGATTGCTAAATCCACCTTGGAGTGGGGTGTGTCTCTCTCTCTGTCACATTTTGTTATTTTTACTAAATATTTGTCATTTCTTAAAGCATAGAAATTTAAACAAGTCATTTCACCAGAGACTTGAATTTGCATTTTCAACTGTCAAAGTCCATCATTGATGAACCTTACCATTTTGACTATCAAAGATAGAATGATAAAGAAAAGTTCTTGTCACATTAAGTGGTTTGCTGAGTCACTTTTGGATATGTACATTTATTCTGGAGTCACTTGTGATGTACGAGAATTTGATTACAAATCTGTACATGCAGAGCAAAGAGGGTAATAAATGTTTTTTACAATAATGATAAAAAATTTTTTTTTTTTTTTTTTGCAGGTGATTGTGTCTATGCTGTCAGTTCCAGCCATTTTCTATCGGCCCAAAGGACGAGAAGAGGATTCGGATGCTGCACGAGAGAAATTCCAAGTACCTGAAAGTGACCATCTCACTTACCTCAATGTTTATCAACAATGGAAAAAGAACAGGTAAGTACTTTCTCATAGCTTTGTGATCTTTACTTATAATTGCAGCCAGTTTTTATTTCCAGGATCCACAAGTTGATTTTTTTTTTTTTTTTAATAATCTGCAATCAAATTTTGCTTGTATTTTAGACGTTTTATTAAATAGTTTTTGTAATAACCTGTTTTTTTCTACAGCTTTTGTCCTACAGAACAATGGCCTGAGAGTTTGTGAATTTGGTGGCATAGTGGTTGTGAGATCAATCTCTAGGATTGGGTAATGTGTAGTTGCACTCAGTTGAAAAGGGGCAAGTCAATCACTGAACAATACTAAATAAAAATAAGAATTAGATGATATTCCTAGACATGGGCAGTGAAATGAGAACAGTCAACTCCTATACATTAAATAAAGGGTTTGGTTCAGAGTCCATATACACATGAAAAAGGCTGAAACATTGTGATAACAAGAAGATGAGTACAATAGTCTAAATATAAATAGTGTAAAATAATGATAACTCCTTGTTCCAGAAATTCAGATAGGGATAATTTTTAAGTTTGTAAGAGAATTGTAGAGGGTTACTTAGATTGTTGGGGTTTTGTTGAAATATAAGTCTTATAGGATAAAAATTACTATAAATTAATAGGTATAGTTCTATACTAGAATCAGAAGTATTCCTTGGTCTGATGATAAACTACATCTGGCAGCAAGACCTCTGATTGGAAGTTTTGAGGAGCATGGAACCACCTCTTAATTGTTGTTGTCTCCAGGTCCATGAATTCATTTTCCATTAAAAAAAAAGTTTTTTGAAGTTGAAGGCAAAAATTGCTGTGTACATGGCTTGTTTTTTTAAGGGCACCATGGCATAAGCTTATCAGTCTATGAATATATATTAGTCATTCACAGATACACTGATGAGCTGTGAAACAGGCTAACTAGACATCCAATTGCTTCAAGCCAAGATTGACTGGTGTCAAATTGGGCAAGTTTCAGAGACTCTTACCCCTAGGCTATCGGTACATGGCAGAGAAATGAAATTTTTAAAAAGCATTATATATATGTGATATATAAACATCCTACCCCACCCATCATAGTGCTCAATTCTTACAAAAAGTGATGCATTAAATTGGCAGCATTAAAAATTAAAATTACCTTTTCTCCATAGGGCTCAATTGGCAAATGAGAAATGTTCTGGCTCAACAAACAAGACAATGCCACAGCAAATTGCTCTCCCATAACAAACTGGTAACCTGATGCCATTACACTTTTATCAACTTATTCAATTAATTTATATTTAATTTTATCTTTTCAGTTACTCAGCAAGTTGGTGCAATGAACATTTCATTCACATCAAAGCAATCCGAAAGGTAATAATTACTTTAATTCTCACCTGGTCATCACTTTCTTAAGCCGGCTTTCTCTTCTTTAATAAACAAGGGTCACCAACTATCCAAATCGCTACCTTTGTAGAATTGTTCAACAATAATTTTTTCACTTATTTGCAACATTTAGAATCCACCAACTGTATCTTCTGCTGGGGGGTGAGGCACTGCTAAAAGAGCATTCATTCCCGGTGGCTACTTGCAAATTTGGGTATAAATCTGATGATTGATTACATTTTTTTTTTACCTAAATTTAAACTGGACAAAATTTATAATTTGATGTTTAGATTTTTAATGCTAGTTTTTGTTCTCAGGCTTAGAATTTGGCATTCTTTCTGCAGAAGTTATTGTTTTGTTGTAGGTGCGCGAAGTGCGGCAACAACTCAAAGAGATCATGGATCAACAAAGAATGGATTTAATATCATGTGGTAATGACTGGGATGTGATTCGGAAGAGCATTTGTTCATCTTATTTCCACCAAGCTGCAAGGCTTAAGGTAAGCAATTAATCATATGGCACCATATGATGGGCTGTTTTTGGTTCTATAAACTAAAGAAATTATTTACATTGTTCAAGCTGTTGTCCTCATTTTAGTTGCCATATTCACAACATTTCAGCCATTGTACACCCCGGCCTTCTTCAGTTGATTGGAATTTTGAACTTTACTGTTTATTTCATTCACTGGGGTAGATTGTTTGAGTTCCACATGCCATGCATTTTCCTTTAACTTAACTCTGCATGTTTTTTGTTCACCTCAGCTGGATCCAACCAACACTTATCCACTGGCCACAATGAATAAAAGTGTTGGTTGAATCCAGTGATTTCACTCAAAGAGTTGTGAGTTCAGTACCTGACTACAGCTAAGGTGAACAAAAAAAAACAAAAAAACTTTATGATTAAGGTCTTGTGTCAGAACTAAGTTTTGAAAGTATTTTGTTATTAAATTTATGTATAAATTTCAACACAAGTAGTTATATACTGGGAGTTGATTTTTTACTTGATTCATTTATTATTTCCTGATAGGGTTAAAAGTGAATTGTTTCCTAAATGTTATAAACTTGATGAATTGTTGAGGAGATCAAATGACATCAAATCAGACAATTTTATTTGATTTTCTTTCTTTCTAGGGAATTGGAGAATATGTGAATTGCCGAACAGGAATGCCGTGCCATTTGCATCCAACTAGTGCCCTATTTGGAATGGGCTACAATCCTGACTACATTGTCTATCATGAACTTGTGATGACTTCAAAGGTAAATAAGCTGATACTTACCCAGATTGATATAACAACAAAGACGAGGACAAGAATCCGAATAAATAATCACCTATTTTGTCATTTTTGAGAAATTACTTGAAGGAATTTTTTTCAGTTAACTTTGAATTTTCAAATCAATTCATTCTTTCAATTGTGGGAATTTAGAATAAAGAAATAGATTTAAACAAGCCTTTACCATAAGATCCTGTCTTTTGTCAGCAACAAGGCTATCCCCAAACCCCCTCACCAGTGGCCCCCAGGCAGTGCTTTGGGACCCTCTCTATCTTATCATCTAGATACATTGCAAATTAAACTAAGTACAACTGACGATTAGTAGGTGAAAGATTTTTGCAGATTTTGACAGATTTTTTTTCTCCCTCCAAATTCATTAATTTGTTTTGCTCATGCCAAGTCTCAAGAAAATACTATATAAAATTCACTGTTTTTTATCCATAATGTTGAATGTGTTAAAATTCAACTTTTTAACAAGAAATATCTTTAGTTGATGTTAAAAATTGCCACCAAACAATATTGATTTTATTCATGAGGAAATGATCCATTATGACAGGTCTCTAATTTATACATTGGATTTATTTTCAATTTTTCTAGTTGTTCATCTATATTACATGTGAGCCATTATTGTACATAATTATATTACAATAAAATTTGTATTTTATATGTATACTATCTTATGAAAATTGAAAGGCATTAGAGTGGGGGGGGAGGCATGTAACCCTTGCACCAGCCATAGTCAACAATATTTTTGGGCCATCACAATCAAACAAGGTCCTCATCTATATTCTTCAGTTTTTATTCTTTACTGTATTGTTACCTCCATAGCAGTAGTAGTTATAATACTGTATTTTTTTTATTTGTTTTCTTCATCTATTTTTGTTGTTTTTTGTTTTTATACTGAGATTTTAGTCAAATTATTTTGGAGCCATTAACTTTGACAGAAATTCCTATCATCCATAGCTAATAGGTTAAATTTGGAAGAAGCAAATAATTTTCGATGAGGTTTGCACTTAGAAACCAAAATCTTGGAAATGTTAAAAGTTAATTCTTTATTACATATTCTCAGTTTAATGGCTGGAGAATGAAAAAGAAAAACACTTAAATGTAAAAAAGTGACAAAAAATATTCACCTTAGAAGCAGCGTAAGAGGATTCTTCATTTTTAGGGAAAATGCAAAAAGTTGCCTCAGATGAGAGTTGAGCTCACATCTTTCATTGTTTATAATATAGTCAAACATGACAAGGAACATTTTCTGATGTGTGTGTGATATTAAATGTTTGTTGAGTGAGAAAAAAAAAAACTAAACTTCTCACTGATATAATTTTGGGAATGATTTCCAGGCTGAAACTCAAAGATTTTTATCTGAAGAATTTCCAAGTTTAAATTTCATTTGCCATTTACTGTATGTTTTGAGTGAGGAAAAAAAAATGAATGAAATATTTTATTAAATCAATTAAAAATTGTGCATTTGCATTCTTCAATATTGTCTTAATAACAAACCAATATGCCATAAACCATTGCTTGAGGTAAGAGAACAAAGGCAAAAGGAAGTTGATTTTGATTGCTAACGAAATTCGTACAATGGATCAACCATTGCCGGTGGTAAAAGTTCACATGTGAATCCCTAAGACACACTGGGGGCAGTAGATTTAGGTTTGACAGTTGAATTGATTAAAGAGTCCTGCAGGGACCAAGTGACTCCTGTCAAAAAGAAAGTGTGTTTCTCATCTCCTTCCTAGGAACATCCAATAATTAAAAGCTTGCATCATTTAAGCTGAATTTTCTTATACTTTGAAAAGAAAAAAAAAAAAAGCTGTAGTCTCTATAGTAGTACTTGACTGTGCTTATAAAATTGGAATTAACTAATATTATTCAAATATTTTCAAGGAAATTGAATTAAAATTGTGGTTGCAGACGAAATTTCCACCAACAAGTGGAAGGAATGTTTTGGTTGGTAAAAATTTATATGAATAATTTGGATTTCTTTTGCCAGGAATACATGCAGTGCGTAACAGCTGTTGATGGACAATGGTTAGCTGAGCTTGGTCCCATGTTTTATACAATCAAAGATTCTTCCAAGTCAAGACAGGTAGGAAAAACAAACAAACTAAAACACAATATAAAATTTTGGTTTGTTTTTTTAAATTCTTTAAAATCCTAAAATGTTCTTCCATCATTCTATAAGAGAAATTAATTCAGTAAACAAAAGGTAAAATTTTCAGAATTTAATAAGAATTCAGTTTTTGAAAAGTCAAAGATTAAAACTCTTGTCCTTTGAGGAAATGCCAAAATAATCTTTGAAAAAAAACTTTATTAACCAGCGCCAATATCCACTAAGCCACTGTCCCAAAGAACATAAGTAGTGTTTTTTTTGAGCCATTACATCCAGTTTCAAATTGATAATAAAGTATTCCTGTTATTTAGTAGCCGTGAGTTCAATCCTTGGATCAGGCAGTGAAGTCAGCAGAAACAAACGAGAAACTGCATCAACACATAAAAGATATTTCAAAATAACAAACACCTGAAGATGGACGGAGACTATTTGGTTGAAATGTGTCTATAATCAATTGTTCTAAACTTGAGAAACAGTGGGTGTTTCAGATTGGCAAGTGAGCCCCTGATGGAGTGCCCCCCACCCTTCTCCATATCAAACAAAAATGCAATAAAGAAACAAACACATATTCAGATGTGAGACTTTTATGAAGTCATCTGCACACTATCAGTTACTCTCAAGTCCAATGTGAAAGGACATTTTCAAAGCAAAAGATAAAAAAAGCCAAGGTTAAGAAATTTGCTGTCTGGAGAGAATTTGGAATCATACATTTTGTTATCCATATGAAGAGGAATTCTTAGATGAATTGGTCACAGAAACAATTTGTGACACTATTTAGCTATGGTAATTGGCTAACTAATTAACCATAGAAATTAAAAATGAGAAATACTTAAAGGCGAGAAAGTGCTATATTGAAAGATAGACTGAGCGACATAAAAAAAAAAAAAATTATTTACAAGAGAAAGATACTTTTCACAAAAGACAGAAAATCTGTAAGAAAAAGCGAGACTGTGATTCTGTCAAAAATTAATTAATGTCATGATAAGGGAGTGATGTGCCAATGTAAACAAAATTCAGATAGAAAAACAAACCTGGCTGACGTATGTGGCCATGGAAAAAGTTTGGCTTGGGACCACCCTGGAGAATAGCTATTAGTTATTTTTCAGAGATATCATTTAATTTTGGTTCTTGTGTAAAGCGAAGAGACCCATCTGGTATATGTGTGAATCTCGACATGAAAAAGAGTCAAAAAGGGATCATTATTATTGCTTATTCAAAGCGTCTCGAAAATGGGCATCTGGTGATAAGAGAATTTTAAGGCATGAGAAAAATAAAAGAATTTAATTATCAGGTAAACACGACCACCCAGTTAAAAGTTGACTATGTGGATCTGAGTGTCCCCAAAATCAAGATGTGATAAGAATTATTTGACAATAGGAAAAAAAAAAAAAGCCACACCCACACTACCGAGAGATCATTGGCCAACTGGTAGCATGGGTGATAGGCGGAGATGAATGTATGTGAAAGACGGAGAAGTTGTTAACACCCACTGAGGGGATTGGTATGAGATACCAATGTGAGAGAGGAACAATGTGAGAGAGGAAGAGTCTGGGAGGATAACTCTCCTCCAACCTTCCCTCATGGATGAGGGAGAAACCCCCGAAATGGAAAGTAATTAATTTTTCTGGCCTAAGAACAAAGAGAATTCTTGTTGGGAATTGAGAATTGTCAGAGAACCCAAACCACGACAGGCCCCCACACCGGAGTTGGTCGGTGTTCATATAAATGACCATCTTGAGGGAGTGTTCGCAGTTCCAGACAGTTCGAGTTTGGAGTTAGCTTCTGCGAGGCAACACTCTCGAACTGACTGAAAGATTTCCATGTCCTTTTCGACTTAGTCTTCCTACCAAAAGCAAGTTTTTTTTATTGACAAACGACTTAAGATACCATAACTCGCTTAAGAAATGCAAAAAGTGTCATGAATCCATAGAAACAGGCCGGGAGAGAAACACACTCCTGTATACAACAGCTAGACAAAGATAATTTGTTATTTCTCAACATAGTTGAACCTCTTGAGTTGTTTTATTATTTTCTTTTACTTACGCTTGTGCGGTATCACCTTTACCCCAGATTCAGCTTGCACTACAGCCTGATTGATTTTGTCTACCTAAGATCAAAGTCACAACGTGGGTAGGTTAGACTTGAGATCAAAGTAGTTATTTCGGTGACCAGACGTTGGAGGTGAGCTGAGAACGACAAAGTTGGTATCGATCCGGGAACGACCAGATTGACCAGGACACAGGCTGCAAATGCTGGTGGAAAGTAGACCATGGCGCAATGTCATATATTGACGTCGCGACCAGTGGACGTCCAATATTGGCACTGGCGCTGTGACCACCAGTGGGTGTCACAAATTATTGGTAGATTTGCAGTCATCTAGAGAATACAAATGTTTGCTCTTAATATAGTGGCCTGCATGTAATACTTTATTGTGCACTTGCATGATCTGTTACTGTTTCAATTCAGCAGAAAACTATTACACATATTTCTGCTGCAGCCTGTATAAGTGATGATTTCAGATGATAAATTACCAACGTCTGCCACACAGAAATAGAAATGATTAAAGAAGTTTGTCTAATGTGGGTTTTCATTATCATTGGATCAGTCCTTATTGTACCTGACCAAAGACCTCTTAAAAAAATTCTTACGTTTGGTCAGATTTTTTTCAGCACCCCTTATATTTATTATAAGACAGAGATTCAGACTTTGGCAATATGGCCGAGGCAGCAAATATTTGTGGTTAGATACATTGAAGTTGAATGTCTATTCTTTTTCTCTAGGAAAGAAAGAAGCAAGTCCGAGAAGAGATGACTGCAATGGAAGAAGAGATGAAAAAAGCTGACGAGTTAATAAAAGCACGGAAGGAACAACAAGAACGTTTGATGCTTGGGTCAAAAAGGTAAGATGAAACTGTCGATTATCAGTTATCTCCCTTGAAGTCTTTCTATCAAAGAATTGAGGACAAGTTCAAAGGTTCTTTATTGTCTAAGCAAGTTAACAGAAACAAATTCCTACTCTCTGCCCTCCACACATATCACTGTCTATTTAGTTTAGGTAAAGATTTGCTAGAAAATGAGTATACCATGATGAAAACAGTCCCCAAATTTGATAAAAACAAAGTTTTACCATCAAAATGTTTGTTATTATTAAGAGGAAAAGCCAAAGTATTACATTTCTTTATTAAATTTTTTATTCCTTTCTCGCATGTTCGAAATTTTGGTTAAAAATCTTAGTTTTTCTTGTGTCAGTGGGTGGGCCAAATTTAATGTCTTTTATGCAAAAATCAAATAATTGTTATATTTTATTAAATTTTCAGGACTTATTCTCAAATATTTTTTTTTTTTTTTTTTTTACATCTGTTACTCAATTTTATGAAATTGAGAAATTAAAAATTCCACCTTCTTCATAGTTAAAAGCAGGACTCCTTGGAAAAGTTAAATAATCAATTTATTTTTGTCAAACAGAAACATCATTTACTGAAAATCTGCTCTGAATCATAAATTAAAAATGTGATAAAACTGATACTGTTTAATTAGAAAAGCTCTTAACTGCTTATTGTCTTAAAAACATTTTTTTTGATGAATAATGAATTTGTTTTTTTTTTTTTTTTTTACAAGAATTGTTTTCATCGTTTTTTAAATTTTAATTAGAATAATTTATTAAGTTTTAAATCTTTTAAAATTCTGTATTAATTTCACCCTTTTAGATGATATTATAAGTGAAAACTATATTTACTAATCATCAAATACCAATATTTTTAAAAGAATTTAATTTTTTTGTATGTGTATAAACAACAGATGATTATCAGACAATGAATTGCAGCTTTTCTACAGTAAATTTAAAGCCAAAATTTCTAAAATAAAACAGATTACTCATACTGAGAATATTTTCTTAAATTTTTAAGATTACTGAGTACTTAAAAATTTTATATAAAAAGGCGCTCACATTATATTGTTATTTTTTTTACAGTTAAAGCCTCCATAGAACATTAGATAAACATCAATTTGTCAAAAATATCACCAGCTTAAATAAACAATGTCTGTTGTTTTTTTAAACTTAAAGTAAATAATATTTGTTTCAAATCAGTACTTTAAATTCGATAATATTCCTCAAAGAAACTTCCAGAAAAGTATAGAGTTTTTAATAAAGAGAATTACATTGCGATGAAAAATGACTAAAAGAGCACTAATTGGCTATTTTAGCACAAAAAAAAAAAAAAATCTCCTTCCACTCAATTTGAATTAGTATTTTGCTTATTGTAAATATTAAATTTAATCTATTAGCTTGAAATTAAAACTAAAATAGAAGCTTCAAGAAACAAAATTTTCATTTTTAAAATTACATTTTAAACCTTCGGTATTATGTTTTCTGTATTAGTATCAAATTTAGTTACTTATTATTCTGGGAATTATATTTACTTATGCTGAATGCAGTTGTCTGTTGTGACTTTTATTACCTCCCTTAGTCACTAGCACCCTAGAAAGGAAATGACGTCACAAGGAGTCTGCAACTGTTGCGTTAAATATCCACAGAATGAAAAATGAAAGGAATTACTTCCCGAGATCTGAGAATGTCCAACAAGACTTAGCAAGGGGAGGTAACTGATCCTGTTGTCTCAATGAAAAAGGAAAAAAAGGTCTATATTGAGGTTAACGTTTTATTCAGGAAAGATACAGTGAAAATTAGAAATAACAAATATATATATGTATGTATATATATTTCTCAAAATTGGAAATGGACATAGAAAATTCATTTCAAAGAAGGAAAACACTTTTCAAACAATAACAATTTGTAACAAATGAAATAAGCCGAATAAATTCATTTTCCCATGATGCAATTTATAAAGAAACTATGACCCCACTTCCGGACAATCTTTCTCTTCCAATGAGATTGTTCAGATGTGTTTATTACAGCATCCATACTCATGAAGTAAAGATCTGGCCATCCCATTTCAGCACAAAACTGACTGCAGCTCGAGTTTGTATCCTTATTTCCCATAAATTATTTTTGAATCAAAAAAGGAAAGCGGACATACTCAAGAATAGACATTTAATTTTACTTTGATATGATCTACATAAAATAAACATTCGTAGCAGAAACTCAAGATTTTTTGTATGCGTTTCTAACTTATTTCTTTATCTTGAACACGCAACTTCCCCTAAAAACCCCCGTGCTTGTTATACAGAATATTAAGCATTCTCATAATATTAACACTGCTGCTCTCAGCCTGTTAATGGATATATTGGGCCCTTTGGGGTACTCTTGCCAGGGTTGTAGCTTTCAATTTGTAGCCTTAGTACATGATTTCAAGACAAAATAGTCATGTTATTATTTAAAGTTTCCAGGAAGAAGCAAAACAGCAAAAATACATATATTAGGGTTCAAATGAGAGATTTCAAATATACAAGCAAAAATGGGAAAAGCAATGAAGTCTCAATAATGGTGCCCATCTTGCTGCTTACTCCCTTTTCAACCTCGTATGAAGAGTTCAATTTATAAAATCAGAAATAATCTGTTCAATTTTTCTCGTTGTAGGGAAAATACAACCTTGTTCTATTCTGTTGGTCTTGGTTTTCACTATGGCTTTATTTAGCCATACGGATAATATTGTGAAAAGCAAACAGTAACAAGGTTGGATTTTTCCCCTACAATGCACGTCCTGGGTATGACGTTAAACTGCATCCAACAGCAAGGCCTCTGATCAGGAGGTTTTGAGGAGCGTGGAACCACCTCATAATTGCTGGTGTTCCTAGGGTGGTAGCACCTGTTAGTTCCTCAGCTATGGGCAAATAGCGAACTTCTAGTTTTTCCAGATCTTACCCACATCCTGGGTATGACGATAAACTATGTCCAACAGCAAGGCCTCAGATAATGTTTTCAGAAAAGTAACGTTGCCAGCTATACGTTTAATAGTACTATATATATATATAAAACTTAATTTGGTATTAAATGACCTACAGTGGTTGATATGCCATAAAACCCAACCAATCAGCCCTACAATACAAAAATTGAACAACATGATCTCATAAATAAAACTAATTTTTTTGAATGCACCTTGTATGTAACTATATTTTTTTCCTACCAAAACTAATGTTGTGTGGACAAGCTTTCCTGGTCAGTGATTTTGTGTTGCAAGAAGAAATTGTGAAGAAAGCTCCATAGAGAAGGCATTTCAGAGGTGTTACCAGCAATGGCGGAACTGCTGGGAGAAGTGTATGAACTTTCAATGGAAGTATTTTGAAGATGATTAAATAAAATTTGTAAATTGAATTTATTTTTTTTTTTAATGCCCAAGGAAAAAGAGCAGGACAAATACTAAATCCACCAATCAAAAAATTTCACAATGAATCCAAATTTTATGAACATAAATGTCATCATCAATCATGTCTGTACAAAAAAAAAAAAAAAAAAGAAAAAGATTTTTCATTAATATCTATTGGTTTTATTTTCTGATATAAGAATGAATGCTTGAATAATTCTTTTTAATACTCAAAATCATGTATCGCCTACTATTTTGTTTTGCTTAGCTACTCAGTGCCCAGGTTGGGAAACTGGTTTATGTCTAAGGAATATCTACTATAATTCCGATTCTCTCTCTCTCCCTTCCTCCCTTAGTTAGTTAGTGCGACCATTATGTCCTGCCAATATATCATAAATGGACTTTTCCATTTTGACCATGTGAAAACACAGAACTGACATATCTGAGACGCTATATTGAGAGAAGTTTAACGTCTGTTTCAGTGAAATGGAAAATTTGTCAATTTGAAATCTTTTAGTTTGTACAGTCACTTGTAAATAAATTTATTAATGAAAATGTTTTTACAAGACAGTTTTCACTTCATATAACTTTTATCGTTTGCTAAGGGCAAGTAACTATGTTTACAATATCTTTGAATTATTTCCCTTTTTTTCCGATTTGCACTTTTAAGGGAAAAAACAAAGAAAATAAAAGGAAAAGATTTTTAAATTTAAGATTATTTTGAGGATGACTGCTTATTGCAACTTCTGAGTGCAATGTGCCATTACAACTTGACACCCCATCCAGTCCGTTGGATTCTTTTAAGCATAGATTATTGTATAGCAAAGGATATTTATAAATTCTTTGTTTCACGGCACCTAATTCGGCCTGTTCATAGAGCTGAGAAGTTAGAATACGCTAAATGCATTTCTTGCAGAAGGGTGGATTACCTTCTGGGTGGATACTTACAAACGTAGATATAAATCTAACCAATGTTTACATATTCTGATTCACATGTAAACTGGACTTACATCTACATATCCAGGGTTGGACTTCACTATAGCTTGAGAATCACACACCCACTTTTTTTATTTTAATCATTAATAAATAATAGTCATGTATAATTATTTTAAATTTTTTCACCCCAATCAATCTTTTTTTTTTTTTTTTTTTTTTTTGAATTTGATATAGCTTAGGGTCTCAGCAGGCAAAAATCTGGCCCTGTACATATCTATTAATTTATCATGGTTTTGTCACTCATATATATATATATATATATATATATAAATATATATATATATATAGCATGAAACTGTCGCTTCTGTGTGTTGACTTCAATGTTCACTTTTACATATGCTTTATCTCTGATATTGAGCACTTTGTCCCATAAATACAACATACCTTAAAACATACACACACACGGTTTAATGGGCAAATTTTTGCCATTTTTAATTTCATTAATATGTGCTGTTTGTTTTTAATTTTGTCAACTGCAGGGTATAGTTGGGTCAGCTGGGCACCATGATATAATTCACTCCACCAGAAATTTGAAAATGATATGCTGTACTGCTTTGCATTTGTGCTGCAAGTTTCAATATGAACATTTCAGAGTGGTTGGGTGTCAATCTGAAGACAATGCAGAGGATTCAGAAAGAGTTGGATGAGTCTAATGGCAATTATGAAGGTACAGCATATCAGGAACACACTCTGCTAAGAAAAGAACTCACACATTTGTTGATGATGGCCTCAAACTCAAGTGCCTTGAGGAGGTAGTGGTACCTTGGGTAAAGAGGGTAGCTGCTGGAAGACCCTATGTCTGGTAACAGGACTCTGCACCAATGCCACACAAGCAGGAGAACTCAGTCATGGCTGTTAGACATTTTCTGCAACCATACCATCACCTAACTCCCCAGACTGCAACCCCCTTGATTATTATGTGTGGGGTGCAGTTGAGCGAGAGACCAGTGAAACTCCTTGTAAATACCAAAGATGAACTGAAGGCAAGGATTATGGCAGCATTCACCAACTTAAACAAGGATACTGTCCAGAAGACATGTGGGTGATTTCAAAGTTGAAGCCAATGGTGATTTTATTGAACAAATTTACTCTAGAAATTTCAAGATATTTTTGTGTAATTTTGATAAATATATCTGTTAAAATGAGATGTCAGTGTTATTTTCTTTTTTGCATAATTTAGACTACAATTTATCAATTACATCATTCACATATATATATATATATATATATATAACATAAGATAGTAAAAGTGACTTGTTAAATGGAAGTAATCCTATAGCTATAATACAATTGAAATGTTTTGTTAACAAAGAACAAGATTTGTCTCCATTAAAATTTGGTGAAAGTTTTTGTTAAATGTGTGTAAAATTTAAACTATTGTTTTTGAAATGATAAAGATTTTTTTTTCTCTCTCTTTTTTTTCCCTGAAGGTCAAATATTGCAACTCCTGGAAGGAAAGACCCAGCCACTCCTTGGTCAAGCAGAAAAACCCCTGGAAAATTTGGTCTTTGAACAAATAGTCAATTGGTCATTGGTGCTCAAGAGAAGTGATGAACAGGAAATTTAAAAAAAAAAAAAAAAATTTTTTTGTTATTTTTTGTATGCAAATATTAACTAATAAATAAAAATGAATTCTAAACTAAAGATTGTTGCTGTGTCTCTTTTTTTTTTTTTTTTAACTTCTAATTTTTAATTTGAAGTTTTAAAGAAAAAATGTGGGAATTTCACATTGAATTTAAAATGAAAACAAGGATATATATATATCTCAAAATAGATAATAGGAAAAACTATTCTTAGCTGCCATGTTTTGTCCTCTGAGAAACTTTATCAGGGTAAATTTAAGGATTTATTTTGTTGCACATGTTTATATACAAAAGCAACAATGTAATTGGTTTTTTTCAAGGCTTTTAAATTTGAGGTTCATTAATATTCATCATCTGGTTGAAAGGTCAATCAAAACATATGGAGGACACAAAATGCCATAATCCAAAGTCTGGTAAAACTAAACTTTAATTTTTAAATAAATGAATATTGTTTAAATTGTGATCAGATTGTTATTGTTTGGGATCAACTTGTGCGCTGTACATCGAGAAAAAAAAAAAAAAAAAAGAGAGAGAGATAAAAGGAAAATTCTCAAGAATTTTCTTTCTGAGTAAATTACTTTTCTTTTGATAAGTGTGGAATATAAAAATTTCTGGTATTTTTTACTTTTGCGCAAGAAAAAGTGAAATTATCTGGTTGTGGTGGGAGGCTTGTTTTTCAAAGTGAAGCCGCTCCAAGCACTGGTTTTTGTAATCTTTTTACCAGAAAAAGTTGGGAGGTACAGGTCTGTCACCTTGTTACTTAAGGCCTGCCCTCTCTACCTTTCTTTTTTTTTTTCTAAGGGTCACTTTATGAAAACAGTGTCATTCTGCGGCTCTCTTCTTCGTGAGCGAAGAAGAGAGCCGCAGAATGACACTGTTAATTAATGACACTATTAATTAATCCCTAACTGAAATTTGGGTTGTGAGACTAGGCAGTGTTTTGCAACACTTACTGTACCGGACTGGATTCTGATTTACCATTTGAGTCAAAAGGAATTTTTGACACTTTTGTGTTGTTTGATTTTCATTGGTCAATCATGTATCATGTGCATTCAACTCTTTTAAACCAATGTTAGTATAATTTGCCGTGTTTAAAACAAATGGTATGTACATAAAAACCTTCCCAAATCAACATACGAAAAACCAACAAACATACTATTAGGCACAGAATTACGAATATACGTTGATGCCCAGAAAGACAAACTAGAATTTCTGATCTGCTTACATACATATAGCAATATTTATGAATTTTCAGGTAGGCTTGAAATCCATTAATTTATTGAAATTTTGGATGGATGTGCCATCCCTCTTTGAATTCAGAAGCCCTACAAATTGTACTAATGTTGGTTTAAAAGAGTCAAATGTATGTGATACATGGCTGACCAATGAAAATCAGATGACTAATGCATTAGTCACTCACTGTAATGAGACGGACCACTATTTTGATTTAAAAAAAATGTTAATCTAATTAAAACAATTTACTAAAATAAAAAGGTTTAGAAAGTACTTTAATTGCTAAAGAAATCATCTTTAAATTTAAAAATTCCAAGTGTCACTTGTTCATGCAGGTGTGTAGTTGCATAAATGTAAACAAATTAAGTTCTAAAGGATGAAACATGCCATGCGAAAATTCTTTCCACACATATATATATATATATATAAAAGGGAAGAGATTATAGTAGTTCCAACGAGGGAAAAGTGTGTATATTAAAAAGAAGAGAGAAACCACAAACGTTTTTGGTTGTAATGTGGATTTTTTAAAAAAAAATATGCTTTATTTTTCATAATTTTGCTACACGGGTTTCCAGTCTTGCGACTGTCATCAGGCAAAGGGTGGAGATTTCCACATTATTAAAAATAATTTTTTTCTCCTTTATGCTTTACAATATTAAATATTCTCGATATGAGACGTTCTCTTTTTTCGTGTTAGCAATCCAAACGTCTTTCTTGAACTGGCAGTGAAAAGTTCTGTGTGAAGGGTTATAAAACAATTAAGATTGGTTCGAGAAATGATGGAGTAGTTATCGGCATGTTTATCTTTTAATGACCCCTGTGTGTTCTTAGATCTATTTCCATTTTTGTGTGCTATATTGTACCGATTTGTGTAAATTATTAAGGATATTTTTATGGTGGTTGGATGAATCTTTAGTGCACAGTTTATACAGGCCCTTACTCAAGTCAAATGTAACGTCTAGGAAATTGATCACTTTAGCATTACTATTGGCAATAAGGGTTAGTTTATGGTCATTAAAGAATTTAGTTAGGTCATTTCTTAGGTTTGCATGAAACTCCGAATCCTACTATCGACATTGGAGATATATATATATATATATATATATATATATATATATATTCCTATATGTTGTCAAGACGAGAGAGTGGTGAAATTAGAAGTGAAATGGACATTTGGTGGTGGCCGTCGTCAGTGACATCTATCTATCACCGTGTCGGTGTCGACATCAAACGCTAGTCTGTTTGAATTTGGGTATATATAATTTTTAGTTGTCTCAAAATTAAGGTTTTGGTTTGGGGCGAGAGCATCTCTGACTGGTCATAATATATTAATTTTGTTTTGGTTAAAGCAGATGTATGCGTGGAGCCGATGCGCAGAGAACGTAATTTCGCAGTTTGCTTTGGGTCCCCGAGTGGTCAACACCCGGTTTGTGTAGAAAATGTAAGAGGCACAACAGAGGAAAAAAAAAATCAAAACTGATCTGGCCAGTAGATTCTCCATGATAACACCCCCTTTGCGTGATGCTAACAGAGATTGCGATTTCCTCGCTGAGAAATCTATTACAAACATTTCAGGCTATTTCCAAAATTGGAAAAATGCCTCGAAAGGTCAAAAGATTACTCGCATCCCCGACACTCATTAACACGTTACTACGTTATTGAAAGGTATTCGAGAAAATGAGTGTGTGTGTGTGTGTTCGTAATTTTAAGTATTGTAGCGGGTTGAACGGTCTGTGTGTGTTTTATAGCGTTTTTCCCAAAGGAAGAAAACGCAACCTCTCCACCGTGTTTCATCTTGCATGTGAGAGAAGGCAAGAGAAAAGAGAAAGAATGAAGATGTGTCAAAGTATTTATAATTAATGTGAATCACGTGATAGGCTCGAGAACACATAACCAGATTTTGGCAGTAAATTGACTTTGAACACAACTGCGTAGGTGTTGTAACATCTTTCACATATATTAGCCAATCAGAAGTCGGAGAATTATTCAAGGCTTCTGTGATACACTTTGGTGTTTAGTTTGCACAAAAACTGCCGTCGAAAGAAACTATTACATAGAAAATGCATTGAAATCTTTTTCGACCAATAGTATTCGTTGAAATGAAAATAATATGGAATCAGAATGCTAAAGTATAATAAAAAAAATATTAATGTCAAAAGTGTTTGAGTGAAACCGCTGCATATCGTAAAAGGAAAGCAGGAAACTGAGCAAGAATAAAAAAAAAATGTGATACGAAACAAAATCAACGAGATTTGAATTTTGTTTAATGTCTGACGAGTGCATTGAGGCGAAACTGACGTAGTTGGTGAGCTTAGAACAATTCGTTTCTTATTCACAGAAGCTCATTTAGAAACGTATAATCATTAAGGACTGCAATAAAAACGAAGATATTAAAATCAAAGAAATGGAAAAAAATGAAGTTTAAAGATTAGTTTATTTTTTTAAAAAAAAAAAAAAAAAAAAAAAAAAAAAAGAAGGTAAATAAAAACAAAAAATATGTGAGAAAAAAAGAAGGTAAATAAAAACAAAAATATGTGAGAAAAATGAAAAACTAAACCGGTTCTCATTTCTCTGTCATGGAATAGAAAAAAATATGAATAAGTAGTTTATATATATATATATATATATATATATATATATATATATATATATATATATATATATATATATATTATTATACACACACACACACACAAGATAGTCTCCATGAAAAAGTAAAAGCCAAATGCAAAATCTAAATTAAGATAAAATATTTGCAGACATTTGAAAACAGATAACCGCGAAAAATAATTTTCAATCAATAAAAATCAAAACTTCCGAGCTTTCTCGCCTAAAAACAAATGCAAGATTTTGCAACAGGTTGTAGTCAGTCAACTCAAAATTACCAGATGCTCTATACAAATCTACATCACGGAACGTTTTATGCAGAGAGATAAACGAAACACTGAAAACAGAAACTACCTGCGAAATTCTCTAACACATTTATACTTCTTTTCTTCTGTTTTTTTAAATTAATAACAATTGCTAAAATGTCTGAACATTCTCTGTATTAGACACAAATGTCAGTTTCTACTAAAATTTCAAGTTAGTAAACTGAGCGCTCACCCTTCAGTGGCAATTATAAAACTTTGTAATAACATACATCCATAGAAGACCTTCAGTCACCTTTACATAAAAAAAAGCTTTGTTGTAAGAATGATAATAAATTGAAGGTTTAAATTTTATCAAAATTATCGGAAGTTTGTTTATGAGATTAATTATGACAAAGAGATTTTCTAATGACACCATAAAATTATGACCCAGTGAAAATATTTTTTTATATTTTTCTGATAAAAGAAGTTTTGTTTCAACTTAAAATATTTCCTATATCAAATGTTCCATTTTAGCGTTTGTATAATAATTTCATCCACCAAGCAAGGCTATAAAGCTACTAAGACGCAAAGAGTAAACAGTGTTAGAGAATATGAAGAAAGCTATTACTAAGGAGAGAAAATAATAAAAGAACAAGAATTAAGAAGACAGAAGATAACGATTGACATTGCATTTAAATTTTTGAAAATCAAAGGTAATAAAGCCACTAGGATGCAAAGGGGTTACTGAGTGTGAGAGAATATGAGAAAAACTACTATTAATGAGAGAGGACAATAAAAGAACAAGAATTAAGAAGACAGAAGATAACGAATGCATTTAAATTTT